CTTCAAACACTTTGAGTTAGCGAGAATGTATGTCATTAGGTGTTTCTCATCTTCTCTTCCTCCATAGCCTCTCCACCCAAAGATCTCTAGATTAGACGACTAGCATTCATGAATAGCACTCGGCTTGTTCCACGATGGTGCATGGGAGACCTCCGATTTTCTGATATTAATACATTTACTTCAACAATAAGTTCATCTAAACTAGATGCGCTTGTGTAAGGGATGAGGGTACTTACCGTGTGGATTGTAAGAGATTTTAGTTGGATGTTGGATGATGAACTTAACAAAGACTGTGAATTTAATGTTAAACAAAGTTTAACTTTGTAAGCTTACAATCTTTGTTAAACTTACTTACGATGAAAAGATCATGTAGCAAGAAAAGAGTTATAGTCAATGTATATGTACGTATATGCTTACAGTTTACCTTTGTTAAAATGTCAATGAACATTTCGAATTCAATTTAAAGCATTAATTCAAAGTTCTGTAGTGGAGTAAAAAAATTGAAAACTGCCATGATGACTTTATTACTCATGTTCAAAAACAAAATCTATCGAAGTCATATCCCTCTAAACTTAAACTTAACTTGTAAAAAACGAAGTAGCAGAAGAAAACCAACCAAAAGTAGGATAATCTTTGGTTAACAAAATTTAAAAATTTTAAATTTTCCAAAAAAAAAAACGATAATATCAGATTATGCATGTTATTATTAGTTGTATCAACATTGAGGTATCACGCAGTGAGGAAGGAGCCTTTGAAGGCGGTGCCTAAACGAGCTAGCACACTCAAGTTGGCTCAGCTCATCATGAGACTGGTTTTTTATGCTGATTATTTATGTAACGTGATCCACAAGTTTCAACCTTTTTAATGCTTTGTAGCTGTAGTTTTACAAGTCTTACTCTGTAGTCTCTGTTCTTGCAGTTCTCAAATGCCCTAAGCCCCTAAGAGATTTTTGAGAAATACGATTGGGCTAGGACGTGGGCTTCAGTGAAACATAAGCAAATAGGCCTCGATAATTGGTGAGCCCATACACAATCCGAATCTGAGGTAAACTGAGCGTTTCAACTTGGCGGTTAAGGTTGCTACTTGCTACTTAAAGTTCGAATCTGAGACAGTTTTTTTACTTAAAAAAATGAAAAAGAGAGCTAAGAGAGAGAGAGAGTGGGAGAGTGAAATAGGATCTTCTTCTTCATATATTTTTTCTTCTAATCTGAGCCTTTTTGAGTTTCTGTAATCGCCAATTATCTAGTGGATTCCTCTAGTGAGTGGTGAGGATTACCAAAATCTGGTTTGATCTTGATATAACTTGGTATATGCAGCGTCGTCTTTACTTTGTGTTCTTCATTCATTGCAAGAATCAAGGCATTAGGGTCAATAATCTGCAAAGTAATCGAGTTACGATTTACTATCGATATGCACACATCCTTCATGGTCAAAATACTCATCCAATAAGATATTAGTCTGATCGTCTCGGTAGCAGGCGGCATCGATTTCAGCTTTCAAATTTTAGATGTTGGACCATGGATTATTATCTTGAACACCATGTTTTGCCTCGACCTCATCTGGGATTCTTGACTTAAACCTTTAAATCAAAGAAGAGAAAAAAAATGATCAATCAGAAAATATGTATCTTATTTTTGTGCTCTTTCTTCTTGGCAGCTTCTCTCTTCTCTTTCTCCACTTTCAATTCCACAGCGACATCAGCAGGTACAACTTGCTTCTTCTTTCTCTTGCGCTTTGAGCCTTTTTCACGGTTAAGTGACTCCCTTAAACGAGCTTGAACGGCCTATTGTCAACAACCAATCAATTAACAATTGTTTCTTCTCAGAGGGAATTTTGCGCTCCAAACTTGGTTTGCAACAAGAGAAGACTAAATAGATCTTTGTTAGAAGTTGTTTCAATAATTAAAGTTCGCATGAAAATGTAGAAAACGTTTATTTTTTCTTTGAATATAATTTAACATTAAATTCAAAAAAAAAAAAAAAACATTTGTTTCTTCTCAACTAATTAGCCAACAACCATCAGCATTATTCCAAGAGGATTTCTAATGTATTATCCAAAAACAATTGTACACCATATGTACAACATACATCGCATTGGTCAAATGAGTATCACCATCGTCATTCTGAAGTCATATTGTTTCATAATTACTATACTACCAAAAAGCAATCATAATCACAACATGTAGCTCTATGGCAACACCATAACAACATATTTTTAGTACTATGTTTTACATCTCACAAATGGTTGTAAGAAAGTGTTTTATTTTATAAAATCTTACATGAAAAATAACCACATCTTTGTCAATAATTTTAGGCGTGATAATTGAGGTAACTAAGTGGTAATGAATTGCGTAATTCATTCTTGAAGAAAAATAAACCTAGATGATAAAAAGATGAATACCGTTAATTTAACATGTAATCCATATTTCTTGTTTACAATCTACTTATGTAATCTACTTTATGAACTTTGATGTGTTAAGTTTTGTTTGATAATTCTCATAACTCTATTTTGTTCAAAACTTCTCAATGCCACACCGTTACCCTTGGAACCATTGATTTGATTATGTCATCACCCATTGGCTCAAAGTTTTCCTGTAAATCTCTTAAATCAGTTTCATATATGATATAAAAAATTCACCTTATCAATTGTTCAAATGAATTCACATCGCGGCAAACTAATCATCTAGACTGGAATGATCTAAACTAGTGTCACTTCATCTAACGTGAGTCCCTTTCCACTTCATCTAACGTGAGTCCCTTTTGTTTTTTTCTTAACATCCTAACGCGAGATGAGTCCTCATTTTGACGTGAACATGGCCTCATAATTTTAAAGGTTTGGCCTACAAATTTTATTTCCCTACATAAGAAAGATAATGATATTTTTAATTGGGCCATACCCCATATCTAAACATCAAACGAATTGGTTAATACAAAGAAAAACTGTAGCCGTAAAATTTAGAACTTGGGGAATTGATGAATTTGATGAATTTGGAGGCTGAAGTGTCAACACATAGATAAATATGATAGAGCTAGCTATTATGTGATGAATCGTTATTACATTCTATGTCCAGAGCAAATCCAATTGCGTCTTTGATCACATTTTCGATTTATTTTATTTTGTAAAATTTATTATCTGGTTTAATTCCTACATCATGGGAAAACAACATAAATGTAATAAGTAATAAACATCTGACTGTACATAAATAATAGTGGAGATAAATGTGATGGGCAAAAGAAGTGAATGTCGTTGTACTAGCATCGGCAAGAGCATGAAGGAGATTTGCTTTCTGTTTGAATTAGAGAAAACTGAAGGTTCTATAAGAAAAACTGAAAAATACATAGTTTTTTTAAAAAAAAACTAATTCAATACTAATTTTACAACAACAAAAAATGGTAATTTTAGTTTACAACGGTAGAAACAATAATTTTTTAAAAAGTAATATTACATATATATTTTGATTTCGTCTGTTTGCTTTGGAAGAGTTTATGAAAATTACTAAACACATATAAACAAGACCTTTGAATGATCAAGATTTGATAATTTCACCTAATCACTAATATTTTTGTTGAGCCTATAGGTACATCATTTAGAAGAGCAAAAAAAAAACCAAAGTTACGACAAACAATTGGCAAGCAAATCATCAAAAGGTAAAGAAACAAGTTCCAAAGTCGTGATAGCGTGAGATATGAGGGTGCTTTCATTTGTAAGGCACCACCATACTAACATATATCAGTCATAATTAACATCTCAATATATTTGATTCCCATTTTCGCTTATAAGTACCTTTTTGTTTTCGTAGTTTGGATCGGAGGGAAACAAACAAAAACTAACAAAATCAGACTGTACTTTTCACGTTGGTTTATGGTCTAATTCACATTAAGAGACTCAAAGAAACCTACTCATGATGACTTAGCAAGACCACAATCTTTGTTAAAATTACTCATGGTGTAAAATCTATGTACCAATCTATACTAGTATTTTTGCAGTCACTTTTGAGTCGGGTGGGTAAAATTGTTCTCGGATACTTTGGATACCCGACCCGTTAACAAATTTGGTCGTAAAAAATTGTTGGATCGGGTTATATTTAACCCAACTTATACACTGGATATTCCATATTTAATAATTTAGATATTTAGAAGATTTGATTAAGAATTAGAATCATGATTCTCCTATCATCTTTGTTTGAATCAACAATAATAGAAAAATTAAAATATCATTAATCCACCGCTTCAATACGGATTAAATCCTTAAGTTTTTTTAGTACCACCAATATTAGACATATTAAATCAGTCTTATTTAGAAAAGATTGTATAAAACCAAAAATTATCCCGTGGGCCGTGGTATAATGTTACTTAATAAAAATTGTAAACTATAAAATAGAAATATCTTAGAAAATGATACAATTTGAAAACTTTTATATATAATAAAAATCGTTAAATTTTAAAAATTACTACTTTTAGAAAAAATCACGGGACGGGTTAAGAAGTTACATGACGGGTTATATTTTGGAACGAAGTTATATGGGGGACGAGTTTGAATCAATATTTATAAAATTTTAAATATCATTAATATGCCGCTTTAATACAGATTAAATCTTTAGTTTATTAAAATATTAATAACTTAGAGAATGATATGATTTGTAAACTTTTATATATAATAAATAATCATTAAATTTTAAAATAAAAATAAATCACGGGACGGGTTAAAAAATTACGGAACGGGTTATATTTCGAAACGGATTTATATGGCGGACGAATTTGAATCAATATTTATAAATATCATTAACATGCCGCTTTAATATGGATTAAATCTTCAGTTTATTAACAATTGTCTCGTGGTATACCGTTACTTAATAACAATTGTAAATTATAATATAAATAAATATTTTATAAGGAGATACAATTTACAAAATATTTTTACACTAACTTTAAAAATAAATCATCGCGGTGTACCGCGGATTAAAATCTAGTTTAAAGTTATAGTCATTGTTTATGTACTTATACTTACAGTTTAGCTTTGTTAAAATGTCAATGAACATTTCGAGTTCAATTTAAAGTATTACAGTTCTGTAGTGGAGCAAGAAAATTGAGCACTAGATAGTCCATGTTGTAACCTAATAATTAACTAAATGTAATCATTAAATGATAGCTTAACTAGTACTTAAACAAATAAATTAGTAGCAATATCAATCGTTAAACCTCCAGTCCATTTTAGTGGAGATTAGAAGTTGAGATGATGTTGAAACCCTAGGCATAGATTCTAACTCCTCTTGTATGTCTTCAAGATTGCAAGTTGCTAAGAGGGATATCTCGACTGTCTTTAAACACTTTGAGTTAGCCAGAATGTATGTCATTAGTTGTTTCTCATCTTCTCTTCCTCCATAGTCTCCCCACCTAAAGATCTCTAGATGAGACAACAAGCATCCGGGAATAGATACCGGCTGGTTCCAGGAAAGTGGGAGACCCTCGAAGTTCTGGTATCAGTACAGTATATTTTAATATTAAGTTCATCAAAAATAGGTGCACTTATTTTAAAGGAGGATGGAAAACTTACATTGTCAATCGTAAGAGTTTTAAGTTGAGGAGAATTTTGAAGCAAAAAAATAAGTGGCATCAACCAATCTACTAAATCATCTGGATGAAAATGTAACTCTATGAGCCGGGAGAACTTGATGGCGTTACAGCATGCAACCTGCGTGTGATAGAAAAAAATTAACATCATAGTTGGCTAAGCAACATGGAACAAAGAAGAGGACCGGGGATACGTAATCGCTACCATTGATTTGGTCAAATACAAGTACAGATGTATGACAGAAGAAAGAGATCTCAGAAACTTGTCATCGGGGTTTGGAACATTGTTGATGAATGCCTCATCAAGGAAAGACATATTCTCTATCAAGCAATAGTCCCAAACCTCATATAACTGCAAATTTTTTAAAGCAGGGGAATCTATTACCAACGATCCATTGAGATCATCATCTTCATCAACCTCTACCTCATTATCCACTACCTCATCAACCTCATTATCCTCTACCGCATCAACCTCTACCTCATCAATCTCATTATCCTCTACCTCATTCTTGAGCCAATTATCATCATAATAAAATGATTCTAAAGAAGAAACTTTCACGGTAAAGGTTTTCAAGTTGTCATTCTCATGTCTATGCACACTCAGCCACTTGAGAATAGGAGAACTTGATAAAAGCCTAACAAGAGAGCCATCGTCTTTATACACCACGTAGTGAAGACTCAAATATAAGAGAGATGGTAAGGAAGCCGGGGAGGAAACATCCACTAGAATCTGGTTGGATAGAGTTAAATAAACGAGCGTGTCACATGTGTAAAGGCACTTAGGAAATCTTGTGGGCTCTGCGGTCCAGAGGAGCTTGAAATCTAAATCTTCAACATCTCTATTAACTGCGTTCTCAACCCACTTTCCAACATCTACGTCAAAAGGACAATGTGGACCGATTTCGACAATCAAACCATCTAGTTTCGGTGCCTTATGGAGTTGCAATGACTTCTCAATAAACCACCCAACGCTCTCGCTGCCTTCGTCTTTGAACTCGAGTCTAGGCACCATCGTCCAGACATAACGCCATCGTTTAGACAAGATTGAAGTGGCGACTGCCTCTTTTGTTGGGACGTGATGCAAGATCTGCAAGAGCAAATCGTCAGGCAAAGCACAGATCCTAGTTTCGATTCTTTGCTGACAACCTTCGGTTTCTGGAACAGTTGACAGATGCTTATCGATGTGTATAATATCCCACAAAAAAGACCAACAACTCAAGAAACCCATAGATGTGATGTGGGATACCTAGACGCCAATGGAACTTCTTTCCCGTCGCTGACTGTGACAGAGAAAACCCTAATTTACTTCACACAAAAGTGAGTCTATATTGTAAAGCCTTTTTTAAAGAAAAAACAATTATTATACAAATATTTATTGTTTGTTCAGAAAAAAAAAAACATATATTTTTTAGTGCATATAAAAAAGAAAATAACCTTACCAAAAAAAAAAAAAAAAAACACTAAATTAAAGTTGCCCAATTTTTAAAAGTAAAACTGCAATATAGACACACATAAAATATATCAATCGATTCCCATTCTTACATAATTGTTAGTTTTTTCTAGAGCTGTCAAGCGGGTCAAACCCGCCCCACGAGACCCGCCCCGCAGCGGATTTCAAAATTTTTGACCCGCAAAAACCCGCCCCGCAAAATCCGCTGGAGAAAATACTAGACCCGCATCCGCCCCGCTTAATTTCGCGGGAGCCGCGGGTAACCCGCGGGCTTTTAAAAACTTGCTTTTTAAATATTTTTAAATTATATTTAAAACAAAAATATAATTAATAATAATTTTAAATATAAATACACATCCTTCATGGTTGAAATACTCATCCGGTAAGATATTAGTCTGATCGTCTCCGTAGCAGGCAGCCATCGATTTCGGCTTTCAAAATTTAGATGTTGGACCATGGCTTCAACAAAACGTCTTATTCTTTATCTATATAGACAAAAAGGGGAGCTTATGATGAATAATTAGTGTGGTCTATTGGCATTGCACGCTTGTCATAATTGCCGAGGCAGTAGGTTCGATGCCCAGTGAGGGCTTATGTTATTAGTGTGAGTATTTTATTTTCCCGCCAAAAATTTTATATTAATCAATTACCTTCATATTAATACTATCCATGATTATTCCAATTTGGTTTAATTACGTGATCATTATAAAAATTCGAAACTTTAACTTACATGTAAAATTATAAAAATTTGTAACTTTAACTCGATAAAAAAAATTGGAATGTTTATCTCGATAAAAAAATGGAATATTTTACCAATTTAGAGCGTTTAATCTTTCGTGGCAATGGCTTTTTTATTATTATTATTATTATTATTAAAATGGTTTTCCATTTAAATACCAAAGAATGAAATCGACTTTAACTTTTTCAATTTGCGACGACTTTTTAGCATTCCCATATTTTGCCGCCAAACATTTATATTTATCAAATTCCTTATCTAACTTCTTATATTATTAGTACTATATATACGTTAAAGTTTCCTTTTACGTGGCAAGTACTTAATACGGTAGAATCTCTGATACAATTACGTAATTAAACCAAACTGGAAACATTTAATATATAGAGATATTAAATTGGAATGTTTAGAAAAAAATTAATGCCTATGTTAAAGCATCACCGTATATACCACTATGGCACTATCACAAGAACTAGCTCATAATACTTAATTAAAAGGAACGAAAAAATAAAATAACATTGCAAGACAATTTTGATTACCTTGTTTTTTTTTCTTATTTATAAAAGGGAGTAGAAACAACAGTCAACACAGTAAACAACAGTCAATTTTTTGGTTTTTTCATCCTATAGAAATATACTATATATATATATATATATTTTTCTTTTTTTTGTTTTTTCATCCTATAGAAATATACTATATATATATATATATTTTTTTTTTTCATCCTATAGAAATATAATATATATATATATATATATTTTTTTTCATCCTATAGAAATATACTATATGTATATATATATATATATATATATATATATATTTTTATCATCCTATAGAAATATACTAATCCTACCAATCAGCTTGTTGAGACACAATCCCCTGGTAAAGACCTCCTTTTTTCTTCTTGCTTTCTTCTTTGTCCTTCTTGAATTTAGCAATTTTCTTTGCAGTGAGTTTTCTATTGTTCTCTTTCTTCTGAGAAGGAGTGTGGTTGACCTTCTGGGCAAGCCCCACACGATTTGGATTGAATTTCCTTGCAAAGGAAGGCAAATTCTGGAAAAAAAATAAAAACAAAAGTTACTCAGCAACAACAATAAATTCTATTAACAACAACAAGAGTTACTCACCAGACGAGGTTTAAGATGTAGACGCTGTGGAACAACAAGTGCAAGGTGCTGAGCCACGACTTCTTCTTCTTGGAAGAGTTGAGCAACTCCATAGAGAAATGCATCATCATGAGCTTCTGCAGATTGAAGAGCATCATCATCATGATGAATCTGAGGACAAATAACCACAAAATGAGTTAGATTAATCAGAAATCTACAAAAATACTAATTCCTGATGTGATCAAAACTTACAAGGTGCTGAGCCACGACTTCTTCTTCTTGGAAGAGTTGAGCAACTCCATAGAGAAATGCATCATCATGAGCTTCTGCAGATTGAAGAGCATCATCATCATGATGAATCTGAGGACAAATAACCACGAAATGAGTTAGATTAATCAGAAATCTACAAAAATACTAATTCCTGATGTGATCAAAACTTACAAGGTGCTGAGCCACGACTTCTTCTTCTTGGAAGAGTTGAGCAACTCCATAGAGAAATGCATCATCATGAGCTTCTGCAGATTGAAGAGCATCATCATCATGATGAATCTGAGGACAAATAACCACGAAATGAGTTAGATTAATCAGAAATCTACAAAAATACTAATTCCTGATGTGATCAAAACTTACAAGGTGCTGAGCCACGACTTCTTCTTCATGGAAGAGAAGAGCAACTCCATAGAGAAATGAATCATCATCATCATCATCATCTTGGCCAAAGCAGCAGCTGAAAATCTTTTTAAAGAGAGCCTGCAAAAATGAAACAAAATCACAATCCTGAAAAATTTCGATCCACTCTTCAGATCACGATTAGAGAAGCCAAAACTAGGCTAACAAAACTAAGCTAACAAAAATAAGCTAAGAGATAACAAAACGGAGCTACAGATTCATCAAAATCGAAGCTACGAGAACCAATTTTTCAAATCGGAAACAAGACGAAGCTACGAGATCACGATTAGAGAAGCCAAAACTAAGCTAACAAAACTAAGCTAAGAGATAACGGAGAAGAGATAAACAAAACGGAGCTACAGATTCATCAAAATCGAAGCTACGAGAACCAATTTTTCAAATCGGAAACAAGACGAAGCTACGAGATCACGATTAGAGAAGCCAAAACTAAGCTAACAAAACTAAGCTAAGAGATATCGGAGAAGAGATAAACAAAACGGAGCTACAGATTCATCAACGACGCTAAATTGAAGAATCAAGAGGTAAAAAGCAACAGAGAACAGAGATTCATCACATCGCACACAAGAGGAAGCAATGAGAACCAATTTTTCCATGAAAAACAACATGTTTCTTCGACTCTCAGAGAAAGCCTTACCTCTACCGCCATTTTTGTTGTTTGGAGAAAAAGCAGGAGCTTGAAGAATGAGGGAAATTTATTTTTGTTTTGAAATTAGAGAAAATGAAAACTTTTTGAAATTAAGAAACAAATGGTCTCCGGAGCAGTGACAAACAATATATCAATGGGCCGGGCCAACATTTAGGCCCAGTTCGTCCAGCTGTGGAGTAAACACGCGTTTTGATTTTCTTCATAGTCAAACTCAAATCAAAATCATCAAAATTCAAACCAAAAAATTATGTTTCTATTGATATTTTTGTGAGAGTTTGGATAGTTTCGATTAAATAAGACAATTTGAGAAACCCGGAAAATGTTAATTGAAAAACGCATAGAAATTTCCATTTAAAAAAACAATGTAACACAAATTTTTCAAATTTATATTTTAAAATTGAGAAAAACATATTTTCTTCCTCCACGAACTTCACCTTCATTCTTTGAAGAGAAGCAACTTGAAGAGGAAGAAGAAGAAACAAAAAAAAAAAAAGAAACCAAAGTGATGCAGAAAGACAAATTAGAGATCGGAGCGGCAAGGTTAACATGAGAGGAGGAAGTGTGAGCGAGCGAATGATATATATAGTGAAATAAAAATAAGTAGGTAGCGTTTCTACACCCTAATATTTAATTTGAGTGGGTCCCAGATAAATTCTTTTTTTTTTAGAAAATTATTGGTAAAGGAAACAAAACATGGCTACGAAAATGTATTATCGGAAAGTAAAAATCTCACACATTAATTGCCCCCATCGATAAAAATAAATGTACGTTACACTTTCTGCTTAAGATGATTATAAGAGATTAGCTATCTATATATACAATAGCTAATTTATACACAAATGGAAAAATGTCTTAATGGCTAGAGACTTGTTCCTATATATATCTACACGACGAATAAGATTTAATCTCTCTTCTTTGATTGGTGAGTGAGATTAAATTAATTTGTGATCCTTCACATAAGGAAGTTACGTGATCAAGGGAAAACTCAATTATCTTTTTTTTTTTATTGGTTATAACAGATACGATTTTTTTTCTCTAAACATTCCAATTTAACATCTCTAGATATTAAAAAAAAAAAAAAATCGAATTTGGTTTAATTATGTAATTATATATAAAATTCTACCGTATTAAGTACTTGTTATGTAAAAGGAAACTTTAACATATATATAGAAGGAGTTAGATAAGGAATTTGATAGATACAAACGTTTGGCTGGAAGAAAATATGGCAATACTAAAAAGTCGTCGCAAATGGGAAAAGTTTAGGGAAAAATAAAAGCTCTAATTTGGTTAAACATTCCAATTTAACCTCTCCATACATTAAATATTCCAATTTGGTTTAATTACGTGATCATTATAAGAGATTCGAAACTTTAACTGACATGTATAATCATGGATATGTATTTGATATAAAGGAATTTGAAAAATATAAACTTTTGACGGGAAAACATTTAAAAACTAAAAAGTGGAAGAATTAAATTATGCTCTCGCTAAGGATCGAACGCACAGCCTCGGCTTTATTGAAGAAGCGTGCAATGCAAATAGACCACGCCAATCATTCATCACATGCGCCGCTTTGTATATTTATATACAGATAAATAATAAGACGTTTTGTTGTGGGTCTTCGCAAGATAAATCGGGGGATATAATCATATAAACACATTAATTTAGGGGGTGTATTGGACAAAATATTTTGTAAGATTTAGTTGAATTTGAATTTGGATTAGCAGGATTTAAGTATTTTCTAGGTGATTCATAGGATTTTCTATAATTACAAAAACAAAATTCTAGTGCTTTGGTAAAATTTATATTCAAACGTTAGATGATTTTGGAGTGTTGTGTGTGATAATTTTTTAATATTGCTCTCTTAACCTCTAAAAAACTTAAGTCCTCCTTTGTATGTATATCGAGAGATCCTTTTTCGAAAGTAATGCACTTCCAACTCCAAACGGCTTTGGACGCTTCTCAAAGAGAGGGTTTGTTACTTTCGAAAATGCACTTCCAATTCAAATTGGTTTTAGGCATCAAAGAAATGACAGCTTCTCAAACGGCTTAGCTAAGGACAGATAGAGCAATATGGGAACAATACCTTGAGAGAGCAAAACAAAAACACATAGTGACTTCTTCTCGTTAGCCACTTTGATGCTTAAAAAACAATTTTTAGAGGTTACGAGATAAAGACACGGAGAGTGCATCACTTTTTAAACCATTTTCTCAAGAATCTCCATTGCACATACGTTGCATAAACAATTAAACAGCTTTTGATTAGAGAGATAAATTGTTATTCTAATCAATGTATAATTATAACAGTTTTTCATCTCCTGGCTTTGATGCCTTTTAGATCAGGACTTTTGCTAATTACAGAGTACGAGCTATATATCCTAAAAATATGTAACAAATTAAAGCTTCAAGCATTAGTACGATGAAACATTATGACATTTTTGACCTGTTAATTGTGATGTGACGTTATATAATACTTAATTGTGTACTAGGTTAGCATTAACGTGACGTGTGATAATTAATTTCTTAGTATCAAACTATCTATTATCCGTTTCATTTCATCCAGATTAATAAATTTTTGATAATATTTATAAGAATATTTGATTCGAACAATAGTTAATCTTTCCTTAAAATAAATTATAATATTCACTATTCACATAGAAATCACTTAAAGACCCTTGTTTCTTAAATTTTAAATATTTAAATCATTTTGACATTGACAACATATACAAAAAAAAACATATTTATAGACCCTTGTTTCATATATAAAAGACTACTCATAAGGCAAACCATTGCCTGGTCACGGAAACGTCAAGGTTCTTGATGCGGGCGGCACATGTTGGCTTCTAGGCTTCATAAACGACTCCGGTGTACACCGTATTCAATCAAGTTCTACACTTTTTTTTGCTTTGTATTGAACACGGTTTCCGATTTCCAACATGCTATCTCACAACCACATTAGAAACTAGCGATGATCCTTACCATGTATTGGCACGTGAGGTGGATGAGAATTTGAGAATGATCCACTAGTTGGGTTAACCTTTGTAGGAAAGGTGGAGATTGTGATAAAGTTTGTAGATTAGACAATGAAAATCAAGAAGATTTGGTAGGGAAGAAGAAAGGTTGAATGGCGATCAAGAGAGCAAAGAAAAGGAATATCATCATGCCCTTGATCAAGGGATTAGAAAGATATAACAACGAGGACATAAGTGTTTAAAATAAGGAGGACATAGTGTCGCTGGAGTTGTGGAGGAGATGCATCATGCATTGTAAATGTGGTGGGGAGCAACCAGGGCCGGCCCATGGATAAAGCCCATGAAGCAAGGGCTTTAGGCATCAAATAATTATAAGTAGTTTTAGGGGCATCAATTTTTAAAATATTATTGTGGTCTAGTGGTTAGATTGAAGTCCTTTGTTGTACAGGTCACGGTTTCAAATCCCATACATGTTAAAACTTGTATTTATTTTTTTATAACAGCTTTTGTTAATGGGCCAAATTTTTTTTTGCTTTAGGCACTCAAATAGTTTGGACCGGCCCTGGGAGCAACAATGCCTTTAATGTGGTGAGTATGTCTCCCACCTATATATGCATCGAATCATGGAGTGTTCCGATTTGCCGTCAAAAAGTCACACAACAACAAAAAGACAGAGGTCCTGTCCAGCCCATACCTTAGAAGCCTCCTCTAACAACGTTTATTAGCCTTCTTTGCGTTGTTTTATGGCTAGAGTGTTTAACAAGCTAGAGTGTTTCCATTGTTGTAGGCTCTTATTTTCTTTAATTCTAATGCAACTATGCAAGGAAATAAATCTTTATAAATAATGCTCTGTCGATTATTAGATTTTACACAAACACGAGCAAATAACATAAAATGTACCAAGACGAAGGCAACGAGGGCGTTGGGTGGTTTATTGAAAAGATCATGTACCAAGAAAAGAGTTATAGTCAATGTATATGTACGTATATGCTTACAGTTTACCTTTGTTAAAATGTCAATGAACATTTCGAATTCAATTTAAAGCATTAATTCAAAGTTCTGTAGTGGAGTAAAAAAATTGAAAACTGCCATGATGACTTTATTACTCATGTTCAAAAACAAAATCTATCGAAGTCATATCCCTCTAAATTTTTGTTCTCTCGAAAATAGGTGAGCTAAAAATTCGAGATTTTTGTTTTTTAATATATATGAAACTCTATTTGTGAACGCATATATAACCTAATAATTAACTTATATATATAGTCTTCCCAAACGTCAGTGAAGTAAAACTTTTTAATGCAGGCTTCAGATAATATGTTGACTATCTCTTGATAGATAATATGTCTTGCCTTGACGTGGCAGGCTTCAGCTATGTACATAACTTCGGTGACAAGTTTCTACGATGTCTTTCGTTTGTCATACATCTGCACTTGCATTTGACCAAATCAGTGGTAACGATTACATATCCATGTCCCTCTCATTTGTTCCATGTTGCTTTGTCAACTAATGTTTTTTTTTCCTATCACAGGTTGCGTGCTGTAACACTATCAAGTTCTCTCGTCTCATAGAGTTTTATTTTCTTCCAGATGATTTAGTAGATTGGTTAGAACTACTTATGATTTTGCTTCGAAATTCTACTAAACTAAAATCGCTTATCATCAATAGTTTTTTGTCATCATATTATTTAACTTGTGTAATTATCTAAATTTTTAATATTTAAAACAGCAATTTGGAAGTTCGATAACCAGTTTAAAAGCAAAGATTACTCATTCGACATAAGATGATTGTTGATCAGAGTGTTTGTTGTGGCAACGTTGAGATATCTCGCAATGAGGAAGAGCCTTTGAAAGCGGTGCCTAAATGAGCTAGCACACTCAAGTTGGCTCAGCTCATCATGAGACTTGTTTTTTATGCTTTGTAGCTGTGATTGCTGCGAAATACGATTGGGCTCGGAAGTGAGCTTCAGTGAAACATAAGCAAATAGGCCTCGGTAATTAGATTAAACGCTTGTAACAAACACTTAATAACAATAAGAAAAGTTTGTTATCTTCTCTTTCTTTTTTTCTTCTCACGATTCGATTCACCGGAGCTTAAGATAGTGGATTCCTCTAGTACTCACCGAGATGTACCAAAATCTGGTTTGATCTTGATATAACTTGGTATATTGCGGCGGCGTCTTAACTTTGTGTTGTTCATTCATTCGTTAATCCCCTGCAAGAATCAAGCCATTAGGGTTAATAATCTGCAAAGCAATCGAGCTACGCTTTACTATTGATATGCACACATCCTTCATGGTTAAAATACTCATCCAGTAAGATGTTAGTCTGATCGTCTCCGTAGCAGGCAGCCATCGATTTCAGCTTTCAAAATTTAGATGTTGGACTATGGAAGATAAATCAGGGTTTATAATTATATAGAATCATAAACTGGTTTTAAATATCCGATCCGTTTGCCAAGCAAGGAAAATAAATTTTATTGGATATGTAAATTTAATCTTGTGTATTTTTGTATATGCACCTTTATGTAAACAAACTTAAAATTCTCTCCACATTT